CCCCGCCCCGCGCCCCTCACCACAACCCCCACCTCGGCTGCTTCTGTCTGCGCCCCCGCCCTGCTGGGTCGGGGGGTGACGGGTCCTAGCCTGGACTGAGCTCCCCGGGTGTCCCGCCCACCGCAGTCCACGCCAGGGCTGACCCCGCCCCGCAGCCACTGGCTATTTTGGGCGCGATCACTGACAGTCGCGGATCCTGTGACACCTCCCAGCAGCCAGGCACTTGTTGCTCTCCGGACTTGTCAGTCCCTCCAGGCCCCTTTTCCCCACCTGCTCCTGAAGTCTATCCTTTTCCTGTGATACCTGGGACGCTGATCTCTCAGACATCGCTGTCCCCGCTTGGGAACATTGATGGTCTTTTTAAAAAATTAAACACCTAGTGCAAGAGAGGCCCGGCTGTGAGCAGGAGCGGGACTCGCTGCAGAGGTGGCGCCTCTCCAGCCCACGACGGTAGCCCGGGGCGCCGAAGGTATGTCGGACTCAGCAACAGCTAACGGGGAGGACCGGGACCCGGAGATCGAGCTCTTCGTGAAGGTAGGTCGGCGTCCACGCGCTCGCGGCACCTGCCGCACCTCCCTGGGGCTCCAGATGGCAGGAGCTCACGTGCCAGGGCTCAGACGGTGCTGGGACGCGTGACCCTCCCCGGGGAGAGCAGTACTGCGCCCTTTTAGTCCCCTGGGTGCCCTTCTGCAGGCGGGCGCCTCTTCTGGGGCTCCCCGGAAGATGGAGAGAGCTACATGTGGCAGGTGGCTGTCTTCTTGAGTTGACTCTCAGTTTGTCAAGCATCTCAGGACAGGAGGTCAGCATCGGGGGTCCCGAACCCCGTGGGATGCGATGCTGGCTGGTCTTGAAGGATGCCATTAATAATAGCGACGTAAGAAACTCACTGGAGCTGTAAAGTTTTCTTCTACAGTACAGGAAGGAAGGGCAGGGAGAGAGAAGGAAACACCAACCACCACCGATAAAATGATCTTTGGCAACATAAAAATAACCTCTGTTAACCCTCCCCTCCTCTCTTTTACTCAGATACTAAAATAAAAGCCAAGGCAACAAAGGTATTTTCTTGCTTTGTGGCTTGTAGAGAATTGACATCCCGTTTCCCGCGGTTATTATTTCTGTTTTATGACTCTGCAGGGCAGTCTCAGGTGACAAGGGAACCTTCAGGACAACCAGACTCAAACTGAGAGGAAGCTGCACCTTGCAAAAACAAATTAAGCCTCCTGCTCCTGGGGCCGTAGCTGCCAGGCTTCAAAGCCAGTGGCAGGGTCTTTTACAACCTGCAGGAGGAAGGATGGAGGCTGTCTCTCTCTCTCTCTCTCTCTCTCTCTCTCTCTGTGTGTGTGTGTGTGTGTGTGTGTGTGTGTGTGTGTGTGTGTGTAAGCAGAAAGAAACATTTGATCAGTCCTAGGTGCCCACACTGCCTAAGCTGAAACCTGGAAACCTGAGGCAGAAGGAAAGCGGCCTCTGGGTGGTGCAGTCTCCAGGGCATGGGGGAGGGGCTCAGCTAGGCTGCCTGAGCAGGGAGACCTTTCACAAAGCAGGATTAAAACCGTCCAGTGGCGTTTTCCTAGAAGTACACGAGAGTGCTAAGAAGGCACTTAGTGCCTCACCTTGGAAAAGAAAGGAGGCTGCTGGCTTGATTTAAAAGGTACATGTATTTCCTGGGTGCATATATTCCACTGACGGGAACTACCTTTATTTTTCAGGAGTGCTTGCAGACATAGGTAATGAGCAAGATCCTATCCTCTCCCAGACTGAGCAGCCTGGGGCCACTTGGGGTGCTCTGAGCCCAGGAGCCCAGGAGCCCAGGAGCCTAGGCAGGCAGCCCAGAGGGTGAATGGATAGAGCTTTTACAAAGCTCCTTAAAGGAGCTGATCTAGGACTTAACTCAGATTCCCTGGGCCTAGGAGCTTCAAGGTGTCAGGTTCCCAGAGAGAGATTTCAAACACAAATTGGTTCTTTTGAACCAAAGAAGCCCTTTGCCCTGCTATTAGGCGCTGAGACCAATTCTACCTGCACCTTTGGAATTTCATGTTGGCAGTCTTGAGAGATTTTGTTCATTTATATAAAGAGTTTGATACAGAGTTCCAGGAGCCCCCAAAGAATTGGGAAGCAAGTCTCCAGAATCAAGCAGGCTTTCGTGAGCCAGATTTAAGGCTAGACTGATGTTAAGAACAAAGATAATTCGATAAGAAAGCTGTTTTGATCCCCTCTCTCATTTTTTGAGCTTCTGGTTACTGTTAGATCTTCTGGGGACACATAAAGGCCAGGAATAGTGTGAAGATGGGCCTGACTTACAGAATCAGGCATTTCCAAAGTTGGAGATTTCTCTGCTCTGTATGATTCCAACAGAAAGAAAGAGAAGCTTTCTAGCTGGTGATATTGGACAGCAGAGACACATTCTGCGGGGTAGGGTGGATTAGTTCCTATCAAGTCTCACAGGTAAGGGAGGCCCCAGAAGTCATGACTCCAGTGGCAATTTTCAACAGCTGGTGGAAGGATCTCCCAACTAAGCACAACACTAAATCCACCATTCTAGATGACTGCTCATTGAGTTTCAAGGGCTCTGAAAGGACTTGTGATTCCCTCCCCTGTCAATCAATAATCACTCTGTATCTCCTTGCTACTGCTAATAATAATAATAAATCATAGTGGTAATAAACAGCAGCATTTTAGGCCATGTGGGGCACATTGGTACAATTTATCTCATTGGTTCCTCACATCCTTATTCATAAGGGTTGTATCACTCTTATGAAAAATGAGGAAAACACTTCATTATGACCCACAAGGATCTTGTGAGATTTGCAGTCAGAGCACTTGGGGAGTTGAAGTCTGCTGTTTCAACAGCTCAAGGAAACAAAAAAGTTGATTAGTGTCATGTTCTGGTTGAACTAACATGTACTCAGTGAGGGTGTGTGAAATGTCCAGAGGTAGACAGCAAATAGCATTCAAATTCAACCCTCAATTCTAGCACTTCACAGTCTAACTAAATAGCTGTTTTTCATAAATTCGTATGACAGCTCTTGTAATTTCTTTGCTTCTTCACCTGTTTATTTATCGACATGATCTCACGTAGTCCAAGCTGGCCTTGAACACCCTTTATAACTGAGGATGACCTTGAGCTCTTGATCTTCCTGCCCCCACCTCCTGAGCACTAAGATCATAGGCATGACCCACCATACCAAGTATATACCTGCTAAGTATTCAACCCAGGGTTTCATGCATGCTAGGCAAGCACTCTGTGACCTGAGTGACATCCTCAGTCCCTTGTACTTTATTTTGACAATTTAGGCTTTCAAGTGCCATCCACAATAACAATTGTCATTTCATAATCTGCCCTTAATGGGTTCACAGAATTTTGTCTAGGAGAGTACTGTGTACCCCAGGTCTTCCCCTCCCAGGAAACATTTTAACAAGGACTCAGACCATTTTTTTCAACTTATTTATTTTTATTTTATGTGTATGAGTATTTTGCCTGCATATATGTAAGTGTACCATGGACTTGTAATGCCCGCAGAGACCAGAAGGGGCATCAGATCCACTGGAACAGAGTTGCAGTTAACTGCCATGTGGGTGCTAGAAACTGAACCCAGGTCCTCTGAAAGAAGAGTCAGTGCTCTTAACTCTTGAGCCATCTCTCCAAGCCACTTAACAAAGACTTTTAAGAGAGTGTCTCTATATTTTCAGTTTCCTTACCTACAGAAAGAAAAATTAGATTAGATAAGCTCTGATTCTGTGAGACCTGTGGATGAGGCAGAGATCTAAAGACACAGAATCTGTATCTAAGCCTTAGTTCTACCTCTAATTAGCCAAATAACTCTGAATGGAATTATTTAATTTCTATGAACATCCGTGATCTTCTCTCTACCAAAGAGTGATTATAACTAATAATAATTATATTAATAATAATTCACTGACCAAGCCAAGACACTTTGAGGCTGACAGGAGATGCTTCCAGTACTTAGCCTGGGAGAACAGGTGCGAACAGGTCTGTGTGATACTCTGGTAAGGAAAATGTGGTTACTACCACTTTGCTGTGAAATTTCATAGGAATATCCAGGTAACCTTTGTAAACTGAAAACTGCTATAAACACACTATATTCCATCTTCATGTTAGTCCTGTGGCAGATAGATCCTCTCTGAGTCTGAGTGTCCCAGTTTCCCTTGGGGACCAAAGACCTGGCTCCCTCTTCACTCTCAGGGATATTTTGAGAATGATGAGATCATCCATCCTGAGCTTGGACTTTGATCATAAAGGGAGGGGCACAGGTTAGAGAATGAGTAATGACAGTGAGTGTGGTTTAGTGAAAAAAAGAATAAGATCAAGGAAGTAAAAGCAAAACAGAAAGCAATTTAGGAAGGCAAACACAGGATGCGCTGGACATTTTTCTTGGGACCAAGGATTTGGGTTTTAATAGAAGCCAGTGGTTCTCTACCTTGACTATATGAGCAAGTCATTCCAGGAGAGTTTAAGACATGATCCAGGCCAGTCCCCAGACCAATGATATCAGTCTCTATGGGTAGGACCCAGAACAGTTTTCTTGCCTCTACCTGGGATAACTCCAGTGTGCAGACCTTGTGGACAGCCAAGGGTGGTTTCACTAGCAGGCAGCTTCTGTTACAACTGAAATAGGTGCCGCTGATAGTGTAGACTGAAATCCTGAAGGTCTAGTAACATGGGGTGGTATTGTCAGGAGGGTTGTGGACAGAAAACTCAACTCAGTAAACAACTGCTGATGGAGTGGTTAGCAAGCCTCTCCACAGAACTCCAGAATAGTCAGTGTGTGAATCTGCCTAGTCAAATAACCATCAATGCCGTGTGTATGTAGCCAGGGAGTGAGAGTCCTCCTGATTGTCTGATGGAAATGACTAGTTGTTTCCTTTACTGGGTGACCCAAAAAACTCTCTCAGTGGAGAAGGGCACAAGTCAAGTCATGGGATGCATAGTGTGGTCAGATGACTTCCAGAACAGATAGGATCAAGTCTCATGGTGTTCTCCCAGTGGCCCTCAGCTGCTCTGGCTGCCTGGTCTCTTCGAGTAGCTTACCAAAGCATAATCTATTTCATACTGTGTGTGTGTGTGTGTGTGTGTGTGTGTTATGCACATGTGTGAGCAGATACACATGTCCGTGCACACACATGGAGGTCAGAAGAAGACATCAGGTATCCTGTTCTGTGAATTGTCCTACTGTCCTGAGACAAGGACTCTCACTGAACCCAGAACATCGGTAACCAGCAAGCACCAGCAATAATCCTCCTATGTCAACTTCTACCACAGCACTGGGTTTATGAGTGCACATGACCATGCCTGGCTCTGTGCGCTTGTATGTGCATGTTGTAGGACATCTCTGTGTGTTTGTGTGTGTGTTCATGCATGCACATACCTGTATGCATGCATGTGGAGGCTGGAGGTCCACATTTGGGATATTCCTTCATCATTTTCTACCATAGTCTTTGTGAACGGGTCTCTCACTGAACCTGGAGCTCATCTGGTCAGCGAGGGTGACTGGCCGGTGAGCTCCAGAGATCTCTTT